ACGAACAACAGTTGCAATGGTGTGAACTAAATTACACAAATACTTGGACAGACTTATAAGTGTTTTTTGTTTTTTTCTTTCCTGAATATGTTATTTGGAATAATCGCTGACGTATATAGCTTTGAGTCATGGGATACCGCACAGGGATCTTTTGCCTGATTTAAAAGTGTGGTATATATAGAATTCGTGTTGTCCTTATCACAGCAGCCAGTTAAAGTCACGAACTCGAAATAAAAGCTGCAAGAGCATTGACTCATCTAAGGTTTTTATTTATTTTTGATTTCACATATTTAGATCTAACTATATCGCCAAAATACTGTATGTAGAATTACTGTGTTATTTAGTAGTCTTTACAAAGTTATTTTATGTTTATTAAGAAAGCACTTTTTACGATGAACCCAGTCTTTCTATACCAGTCTCTTATCACTGACTATGATAAAGGTTGAGAGCCTATTGATCAGAAAAAGTAAATATAACACTATTAACAGAGGCCTTGAAACAAGTCTTGACCATACTGTGTGTTTAGGCCTGCTCAAGTTTAATAAATTTTTGAAAATTGTATATGATAATCTATACGTAGACGCACACAACTTACGTATTCTCCGTTTCAGAGGACTTTTACGTTAACTGACTTAAGGTTCGCTTTCCGATCCTTAAGTAATCATACGAAAAAAGTATAAAATGTATAGCCAGTCTGAAACGTTTTCACAAACCGCCATTACACGTAAAATAGCACCAATAGAACTTCAGCTGTTCTGACTCAGGAAAATCCACTCGGAAACCATGTAATCAATGTTTGTTCTTATTGATTTATATCAAAATGTTCACCAAGCTTTTGTGTTACGCCCCATAAAACTATACGTTGAGTTAAATTTTAATGCCTTACATATTATGAAGTATTTTATTTTGATGCCTTTATAAAGGTTACTTTATCAGATTCATTTAGCGGCGGTGAGTTGACAACTTCGAGAGTTAATGTTATTTTTAAACAATTTTTGTTGATTAACACTATTGGTAGTACTGAAGAAATTATAATTAAGATTCAGCCTATTTTCTGTATAGGTACACGCAAAAAACACTGCCGCGCTTTCCACTGGACATAAAATGCAGGACGCCTGTACGGCAGCTCGTGGGCAGAACGGGGATATATTAATATTTGGATTATTTCGTTCGAAAACCTGCTAATTACTGATGTGGCGCGTGTAATGGACCACGTGCAACACCAGCAAGATGCAGACGTAGTTTAAGGAGTACCAGATACTGTTCATAGTGAGTAAATCCCTGCTGCTGGATGAAACTTTATTAATTTCTAGAAAACAGGCTGAATCTAACGTATTACTGTTATGCAAACGTAACGTGAGAAGAATTACAAAGCTTTGCACTTATTTTTCATGGTCGGTAAATCGTAACACTTTCAGCGTTGAATTTTTCAGTTGATATACAGTAAACGTTTATTGTAAAAATCTTGAGTTATAATAGGTTAAAAATTTATTTGAAATTTAAGATTCACTTCCGTTTATTTAACAGTAGAAGAAAACATTTAAAACCGAAGAACGAAAAATGGATAACTAAGAGAGTAACTAATAATTCAAGCATAAGCCAATGGGCTTAATAATTTTCATATTGTGCAGTCGCACGAGCTAATAAACTTCATAATTTTATTATAACAAATCTAAAAGAATATTGAAAGATATTTTAGCTAATAATCCATGCTTGTAACGACCAAACCCTACAACAGATGGCACTTAAAGCACTAATAATAAATTTCCTATTCTCCTAAACTCACATGCTGTGTGATAATATATTCGATAAGGTACTCCCGCATCAGCGGCTACTTTTATCAGTGCCCACGACCAACTAACCTATATCTCGGGACGAACTATTTTCAGGCCGCGTCCGAAACCACGCGGCTATCTAAAGGATCCTAGGTCGAAAGTGGTTTGTACGAGCATGCGCTCGGGACGTATGGACGCAGCCAAAAACCATTCTTATGGTTACGTATAAAGGGGGAATTCATTTTGTTTATAAATAAATATATTTCTGTTGTTATATCTTCTAGTTTTCTGTGAAGTTGAAAATAAAAATTAATGCTTATTATTATTATTATTTACTGTGTAAGATATTTAAAACTTTAACTTAATAACCGAAGTACAACATATTCTAGAGGAATTAGGCAAATTCCATTAGAACTGCTCCTTCCCTCTGTTTGTTGATAGATATATAATTACATTCTTCCACACTTAACACAGTTTTTAATGAGTCTGAAAATGTTTGTTGACTTCTTGGTACATCCAGTGAAAATCTGAAGAGAACAAGAACACGTATCTAATTTAAAATATATATATTCGGAACATCGATAAACTGTACCTTGCCATGCCGATTTTTGTTTGTTTTACGATAATGTTATTGTAATCTGCAAATTTTACTATAAAATCGGTCAGATGCTAGCAATTATTTTACTAATACTTTTTTGGCGTATAATTTCTTCGAAAGCTGCCTGAAGGAGTCACCTGTTTTAACCACTATACAGTAGTGCTTTGGCTGTCAGTCAGTAGACACTAAAATGACGTGACATATGGGACACTAACGTTACAATTTTTACTGTCGTGACGTCAGTAAAACGTGCACATGCCATGAATCACGAGAATAATTATGCACTATGTAGGCTACAACCAGCGTGACATGTGAACTTCAAGGCAAGAAATAAAAACATTTGTTACTCTTAATTTTAGTTTTATTTACTCTTGAAACGGAACACTTTCGGGGACCCTGCGGGAAGTACATCTATTACATAAGTTACTTATTTAAGATTCGTATAAAAAAATGTAATAAACTCCTATTTCTTTAACAGTTTAAGGGAAAGATGCAACGCTGAGAAAAATATTGTTCGTTTGAAGCAATCTAAGAAATACCTGCTGTTATATATTAGAATTTCAAATGGCCTGAAATTGGGTTAACTGATAATTAAAATTTAGTAGTTAAATTGTATTTTGGATTTAGTGTTTAAATATATGCCGATATATAGTCAGTTTATGATATTTGCCAACAAGATTGATATACACACACACTTTTCTTTTTTAACAAAATACGTTTTAATATATACTCAACAATACAATTTACAATAACGGTTATTACAAATATTTATTACAAACAATGATTTATAAATAAAAGTTTCACAAACTTACAAGCAATATAAAGTCTTCTTTCTAGTCTGGAACTTCCTTTATCTTATCGAGGGTTCATGATGAGCGAGCTAATTAGGAGTTGATGTAGGCACGATTCGCTTCACGGGGAGCTAGCTAGTTTTGTCCTCCGTTATTTAACAGCCACACACGCCGATATTTTCCTACCGGTGACGTTAGGTAATGTTTTCGTAAAAATACTAATGTCCGATAAGAACCCACTGATGTGTAATGAACCCACACGATTTCTAATGTTCGAACTTTGTAAAGGTTCCTGATCAAATATCTTAAGTTTTCCGATTGGTAAGCGTTATAACAATCCCAGTTATAGCTTCCGAAGTTTATTGTTTGTTTGTTTGTTTGTTTGT